CTCTTTCCATCTTTTGTTAAGTGTAGGCAGAGATTGTAAAAGTCCAGTAGACTGTTGATTACTGGTCTTGTTTCTTTAACAAACATCACAAGTTTGTATATACTTTTGAATTCTTTTGTTCATTTTTGGCCAATAAAATTTTCGCATAATTGCCTCAATAGTTTTATTAATTTCTAAATGTCCTGCAGTTTCTATATTATGATATTCTTATAGAATATGAGTTTTGAGATGCTTATTATTAGGAATTGCAACTCTAGATCCTTTTTTTAAATAAATTTTTTGATTTTTCCACTCAAAGTGTTTAGTACGACTCTGTTTCTTTTCAGTAGCTTGCTCAGGATGTTGTAGTATATACAGAATAGATGTAAAGTATTTATCTTGTTAATAACCTTGCAAAAATGTCTGATTATCAGTCAAGGTAGTAGAAAAAGTGGTAATAGAAGCAAGATGTAATTTTTTTGATAATGTATCAGTCACAATATTAATTTTTCCTGGTTTATATCTCACAGTAAAATTATATGCTTGTAATGTTTCAAGCCATGTGACCTGTCTTTGAGATAGGTTATTTTGTGTTTTGATATATTCTAATGATACATGATCTGTAATAACTGTAAATTTTTGTTCTTCTAAATATATGCGCCATGTTCTAATAGCATAAATAATTACTAGAAGTTTCTTCTCATATACAGTATAATTATGCTTAGCAAATGACAATTTTCTTGATTAATATATAACCAGTTGTTCACCTTTGTCTTGATTTTGTATTAATACAGCACCAATGGTATAATCTGAAGCTTTAGTAATGATAACAAAAGGTTTCATAGCATCAGGTAGAAGGAGTATAGAAGCAGTTGTTAATTTTTTCTTAAATTTATCAAATGCCATTTGAGTATCTTTATTATATTTGAAGGATTGATCTTTGTGAAGAAGATCTGTGTGTTTTAGCAATAGCAGAAAATTCTGGCACAAATTTTCTATAATAACTTGCTAATCCTAAGAAAGAGCAAATCTCAAAAATATTGCTAGGAATAGACCAATCTTAAATAGCTTTGACATTTTTAGGATCTACAAAAATTTCTTCCTTAGAGAGGAAATGCCCAAGATATTTCACTCTTTGTTATAAAAGTTCACATTTTGTTACTTTAGCATATAGCTTGTGTTTTCTTAAAATTTCTAAAATAATTCACAAGTGTTACAAATGTTTTTTTTTTGGGACTATATATTAAAATATCATCCAAATAAATAATGACACATTTGTCCAAATATTCTCTAAAGATATTATTTATGAGAGTTATGAAAGTTGCAAGAGCATTTATCAATCTAAAAGAAAGTACAAGAAATTCAAAATGCCCATATTTGGTTCTAAAAGCAGTTTTGTAAATATCAGATTCTTTGATATGAATTGGATGATAACCAGAATAGAGATCAATTTTTGAAAAATATTTGGCACCAACAAGATGATCCATGAGCTTTTTAATTCTTGGAAATGAATATCTATTTTTAATTTTAATTTTGTTTAGAGCTCTATAATCCATATAGAGACACAATGTACCTTTCTTCTTGTATATAAACAAGACTGGAGCACCAAATAGATATATGCTAGATTTAATAAAACCTTTAGCAGAAAGATCAACTAATTGTCTTTTTAATTCATCCATTTTAGAATAAGACAATCTATATGTTGGTTTAAAGGGTGGTTCTGACCCAGGTATGAGATCAATAGCATGATTAACAGATCTTTTTGATAGTAACTCATTTGGCAACTCAGCTGAAAATACATCAGCAAATTTTTTTATTAAAGCCTTTTCTTTTTTGCTTATTTCTTTAACAAGTTTGTCAGTTATAACAGAATATATAGCAAATAACTCGGCAGTATTTGTTGTAGCAGCCAACTATTGACAAAAGATGAATACAGAAAAACATTCAGAAGTATTAGACTTTTGTTTACTAGCATTGACATTGATAGTGCGCTTTTTATATTGAAATGTAATTGTATTGCTTCTCCAATTGATGTAGGGATTAGTATGATACAACCAAGATTTTTCCAATATAGCATTATATCACTGCAAGTCTAAAAGTTGAGTATTGATTTCAAATGGCCTATATTTTCAAGTTTTAATTTCTTAATTCTCACTTCAGTAATAGCTTCTTTCTTTTGACCATCAGCCAGTTCCACAATAATTGGAGCCATATTAATCTTTTGTAAATGATTTTTTTCAACAAACTTTGTGTCTACAAAGTTTTTTGAAGCTCCAGAATCAAGGAGAATCCAAGCAGATTTTCCATTGATTTTTTCATTAAAGCAAAGCAACTGCTCTTTATTTTTTTCTAATCTTACAAAGTCAATAAAAGAAGCTGACACAGATCCCTCAGTTTCAATTTGATTTATATTTGCATTTGCTTTTGTAGGGCTTTTATATTCTTTAGCAAAATATTCTTTTTTCCTACAATTATAACAAGTGACATGTTTCTTTGATCCTACAGTAGCCTTACTCTTCTTTTGTTCCTAATAATTGGACATTGTTCTATATGTCTCAACTCGATCTAACTCCATAGGAAAAGATTTTCTATACTTCTTTTATTTTTGGTGTTTTGAGACAATTACAGATTTTTTCTAACCCAAACATGGCAGTATAATCCTAATGACCAATTTCTATGCTTCATCAGCATTTCAGGAGCTTGATAACTCACTTTCATCTTTATAGCTGGCTTTAAACCATCAATAAAATATGCAACTTGATCAAAAGATCCCATATTATCAATTTAATTAATAATATTTTTGAATTGGAAGCCATAATTTTGTACAAATTCTGTTTGATACAAATATTTAAGTTGAGTTTTCAAATATTGCTAATAAGCAGGTGGTTGAAATATACTTTTTAATTCTTTCTTAAAATCCACTTAAGAAGTAAAGACAGTACTGATACTATCTTTAACTTTGTTCGCAAACCAATGAAGAGCTGGTTCTTTAAAACCTATAGCAGCATAATGAATCTTTTGACCTTCATTTTAATGTCTTGTACATATAGGATATTTTTAGTTTTACATAGACAACTTTTACATTCTCTCCAGATTTCTCTTTAAAAGTAGGAATTCTAAATGTAATTTTTGATGAAGCCACATTGGCAGAGCTGAAGCCACTAGCAACTGCCTTGTCTTTGTCCTATATTCTTTTTATTTTATTGACAAAGATGTTTATAAATTGTGCAAATTGATTAGCATCCATTTTGCCAATTTATTTAGAGATAGTTGTAACTGTATATAAATATGAATACAAAGGCAGAAAGTCCAGTCACTTCTTTTATAAAGATGTGTATATGTGTACAAGGTGAAATAACTTGCTGCTGCTATCAAATTGTAAAAAGATCTTATTTGTCTGACTTTTACTATTAAATTTGAAAAGACAAATATTTAATTGTCTTTTTAAAACCTTATACTAAATATGACTTAAAGTGAAAATAAAATTCATGTAACCTTCCTTTTAAGAAATCTTTGTAAAAACTATAACACCTACAATTGTTTAAAAAAATATGTTTGTAAAATGTTTTGAATATACAAAAGATTACACAAGTCTTTTACCAATAGCTTTGCCCCTGGACCCCCACACCTCAATCATAACTATTCCCTATCAATCTTTATTTCCAACACCAATCCATTATACAATATATTTTTTAAACAACAATACAATTACTACACACGATTCTTAGGCATTCCTCACATACAATCTGAATCCTAATCCTCTTTCTTTGTTCTGGTTAATTCTTGCTTTACTTTGCTCAAATGCTTTTTAGCTATCCACAATTACTTGCTTCTTCATATATAAACTTAGCACAGAACTACCTGAATACACCAACCGCCAGGTAAAATATTCTCACAGCAGCCTTATTCAAACTATCAACATATAGCTCAAAAGCAAACAGATTACTTTAATCTGGATTTTTGACAAAAAAGAACTCACCTCAATGACTCCTAAAGGCATACCGACACCTATTCCTATTGTTTTCCCAACTGTCCATAGCACATCCCCACTAATCAACACTAACCTTGCAATCAGCATCACACAATGGATTAAGTTTATAAACTACTACACTAACCTTTTTAATATTCTTCTAAGTGAATCTGTCACAAACAAATCGAGAAGCTTTTCCAAAATGAACATTATTATTAAATCTAACAAAAAACTATCAGAAACAGACAGATTAAAATTTCGATCACTAGCAACTTTCAAAACTAAAATTGTAACAAATCAACTCACTACTCGAGACAAACTTCACAAAAGATACTCTCTTCTCTATAAAGATAATCTATGTCCCCAATGCGAAGCACACCAAGAAATCTTAGATTATATATTTTCATATCACCACAGTCTCCCCACACTAAGGAAAAAAAAAGACAAACTTGAGGCCCTTATTGCCCTCAACATTTCCAAAGAGAAACTTAATTCAAGGAAAGCATATCTCCTTCAAACAACCAACATAACAGGCAAAATTTTACTTGATATAGCTCTTGGCAAGTTTAACAACCCCTTTAATATCATTCCGAAAAAAGAAGACATTTCAAATCACTCTCTTAAAATTTTGAACAAAATCTGGAAACAGTGCTCAACAACCACCATCACTTCAACAACTTCAGGAATCAAGTGAAAAAAAACCACTACCTCGGCCACAATCTCTAATACTAACTTCTTAAACAAAAGTACTTTCCAGAAAGTACTTAACACTTTAAAAAACTCGAACAACCTTACTGACAAAAAAATTTTTACACCAGCCATAGTATCATCGTTTTGAATAGGCATTAGCCATTTAATACCTTTAGTATACAAACATCTACTTGGTGCCATTATGTACTAATTGAAAAGTTGCATTAGGCTATAATTAACTTAACTTCTATATATCTTAAAGATTGTTAATGTAATGATAATAAACTTTTGTTTAATAAATGTCTCATATTTAATGCCTATTTGCGATTTAAAAAAAAAAAAAGATTACACAAGTTTTTATTCAAATATATTGATTGTACAAGTATTTGAATACAGTAGGAGTAGTGTTCTCCCAATTTATAAAATGTACTAAATTAATTTTTCTTTAATACTTTTACTATTACTCTATTTATATAATGTTCATTGGCTATAAATATTGTTCATAGGCAAAATCTAATTTTGCACTATAATCATATATAAGAAATAAATATTCTACTATACTATTAAGTAGTAAAAAGACTATAAAGGATATTTAACAAGTATTTACTAATAATATAGGCAGAATTTGTTACAGTTTTATTCACAATAAATTTATTAAATATATTACAAAAATTATTAAGAAAAGCTTTAAAAAGTTATTTCTTGTATGATTATAAAAGGCTTTAACTTTATCTTAAAAGAATTAATTAAGAAATCCAGTAAACTTTTACTCTTCTAAAATTTATAATTAACTAAACAATTGTTTTAATTCTTTTTGAATCCTTTATTTCAACTCTAAAATATATATATGTGTTCTATTAACAAAATCAAAATTAATTAAATATAAATTACTAATAATTTTCTATATCTTCTTCAAAATTCAAACATCTATTCAATTGAAACAGATTTTCAAAATAATCACAAAATAACTAAAATAACTAATATATTATTAAAAAAAGTTTCAACTCAATCTCTAAAACAGATTTTCTCTAAAAAAGATTCTTTATTATATAGTCTTTTCCAAAAAATTAAATATCCAATTACATACCTTAAAAAACATACTTTTATTGATTTATCAATAACAATTTAATTATTATAAATTAAAAATCAACTTCTTATTTCACTCCAAAAACCTCAATCAATCCAATCTTTCTCAAAATCTTTAAATTAATATAGAAAGTTCTTAAACTTGAAAACCAACTTCAAACTAAAGAAAAAATTACTAAACTTAACAATAAGCATATTAATAATCTACAAAAATAATCTCAAATCTATAATATAAAACATTCTAAAATATAAAAGCTCTTCTACTAATTTTAGGAAACTTATTATTACTGAAAAAAATAAAGTTATTTCCAACACTATAGAAATACATACAACTATAGAAGTGCACTATAAAATGATTTTTCATAAAAGATAAATACATCTTTTACTAATAAAAAAATAAAATGAAAACTACTTATTAATCCTTTCAATTCTATTTAACTGTTATTCCAACCTGTTAAGTTTAATATCTGAATATGAAATCTTCAAACAATTGATAAACTATCAACTAACAAAGTATTAGACTTTTCAATATAACATATCTTATAATCAAAAAAACAAAAAAAGCTATAATTTCTATTATTTGCAAACTTTTCAATCAAATCCTATAAAATAAAATACTTTTTGAAAAATAGAAAATATCTAACATTTTTTCAATCAATAAAAAATTTCAATGAAACTTCAATATTGAAAAAACCAGACCAATTGCATTTGTAAACTCTAAAAAAATCCTTATTAAAATTCTAATCACCAAACTCAGTTTAATTCTATTATTATATCAAATTCTTTCAAAATCTAATTTTGCAGGACTTCCTAATCAAAGAATTTTCAAATCTATTCCAATTTTAAACTTAATTTATAATTAACACAAAAAGAAAAAAACTTTAGATCTTATTACTAGATATTAATATATTATTTAATTTATTAAACTTACAAATGTTGAAAAAAACCAAATAACAAATTAAATTTTTACAAAAATTTATTACCATTTCAATATTTTGCTTAATCAAAAATATCAAATAATTATAAATTTTGACAATACAAATCTAATTTCTATATCTGACAGTATTAATCAAAGAAAAATAATTTTATTGATTTACTTATTGTACTTTTAAAATAAACACAATAACTTCTACCAAAACACAATAGCTATGGTTCTAAAAATTGAAATCAAACAAATTTACATAGATTCATATGAGATTTGAAACATTATTAAAAATGATGGTGAGTTATAATCTAAACAAATTTATCAAGCAACCAAACTTGCTATTCATTACAAACTTCATCACATAATAATAGAAGACTTCAACTTATATCCCAAAAACAGTTCACTTATTAACATTCTAATCTTACCACTCAAATAATTCATTTATAAATATTTTAACAACTATGTGGATATTGGTTAACAATTCAATAACAAGGCATTCACACATATTACTGCTACTAGTGTCTTTGGTATTAATTAAGCATGGGTCTTCAGAAATATTGTTGCCAAAGTTATCTAATATGAAGTAGAAGACTGCAGTCTAATTTTTATAGACCATCACATAGTCTCAATTAAACTTGACTATTTTGAGTTCAGAAAAACCAAGTCTACTTTTAAATATAATATTGAAAAAACTCTCAAAGAAAACATAACAGAGTTCACAAATGAATAGAACTTGTGAACCGGTCTTCTTTCATTAACAAACTGAAAGACTTTGAAAACATCTGCAAAAATGCATTAAACAAATATATCAAGAAAGTCAAACAAGTTAAATACAAAAAGATCACCATATCAATGCAGAAAAAAAACTTAAAAAACAAACTAGAAGGATTAACAGAGCCATAAT